AACACAGTCTCCATATGAGCAAAACAATCCAGGAGCACAAGTAGAAAGGCCATCACTTTTGTGGAAGGTAGCAGGAGTGGACTTAACAGATGACTGCTTCTTAAATGGACGTTTCTATGTGGCCTGCTCCAGAGTGAGCTCATCAAGCAGCCTGGTGATCCTAGCACCTGAGGGCAGAACCACCAATGTGGTCTCGAGAGAGGTCCTTCAGTAGAGAGGAAAAAAAGTACGTATGTCTCACTTCATTTCTTACACTACAGTCTTCTCTGTTAGAATTCCTACAACAAATGTCACATTTCAAATTTCACATCATCAGTATTATAACTGGATTTACGGAACTTAAATACCGTAGCGAAGCACGGGTAGCAGGCTAGTTGAATATAGTAAGTAAGTAAATTTATTAGAGTCATTGACCATTGAGAAGTAAAAGCAGTAAAACCCCAAACTTAAAACATTTCTGTTCCCTATACAAGAATATAGTATTTGTAAAATACATAAACCACCAATAACCTAAAATATTAAGTGATATAACTTAAATTACTTATAAAACCATCTCTATAGTTGAATATAATTAATAGAATTTTGTTCTAAAATCGCAACCTGCAATTCCAAGTCACAGGTGTCTTGTAGCTATTGCTCTAAGTAGCTACTGGGCCGGGCACAAAAGCTGCCTGGATCCAGTCCCTTGGGTGCGATGACCATTTCCCCACACCATGCACGCCCAGCACAGGTGCAATACCCCAAGGAAGCCTAGCTGCTGGAACTGGGATGGCGGAGGCTACGAGAAGCTTGGTGGTGTAAACGGACGGTGATGTAATCTTAATACATTCTGTACATTAAGTCCTATCGCCATAGGCATCGTCTCCTGACCGACTTTGAGCTTTGTCAGCTTGCAGGTGAGCTTTTTAGGGAGGGAGGCTGTAGCTTCAGGGTGAAGCACACATTTAGCCACCAGGTGGTCCCAAACTTCAATCAACTCCAGCAGGGCTGGTTCCAGATCTTGGGGGGGCCTGGACCGAGAGTGACCAGCCCCCCCCTTTGCCTGCCACCAGGCCCCTTCTCACTCCTCCCTTCCCACCTACTGACCTTATTTATTTATTTATTTAGATGTATATCCCGCCTTGCCTTGACCTTGCACGCCTGTGCGTCCTTCCCCCACACCCTCACGAGCCCCCTCATCAGCTGCGCTCACAGATGTCTGCACCACCCACTTGCCTGTTCCCTGGCGATGCTGGGCAGTCCCTCCAGCAGGGGGTGTGGCTGGCAGAATGCTTGCAAGCAAGTGAGTGGGGGAATGGCCGGTGGCAGCAGGGGAGGTCAGTGGTCAGTGGCAGCCTCCAGAACCCCTGGGCCCCCGCAGCCACCCCACCTCAGGGGATTCTGACGCCAGCCCTGAGCTCTAGCCAGAGATGTTTCTGGTCATGTACCTGGAAAAGAACTCTGCCTTAAAATTGCCACTGTTTGACATAACCCAGGCCCAGCAATCCGACTTGCAAGGACTGATCTCATGTTTGAGAGTCCTCATCCCCCCCCCCGGAGAACGTGCTGCTCAGAACAGAATTCCCCGGTGTGCGTGGCCCTGCCTGAGATTGCGACTGTGGCACATGCGTAGAAGGCGTGGGGCTTAAGCCTTCCCCCAACCCCGAGCCATTTCCCCAACCTGAAGCATCCCCAGGGAGCTGCTCATCGCTCTGTCGGGGAAAGTCACGGGGGCTCCGTGGCACCATTTCAGATTAGGAAAATGGTACTGAGGGAGGCCGAGCCCCTTCTCCCTGTGCCTGGAAATCAAGTTCTGAGCAAAGCATGCTTGACTGGAAGTCCTTGTGTCCACTGCAGGGTAGCCTACTGGAAATACTTACCTTGGTTTGGCCAGTAAATTCACTCCAGTTTGTATAAAAACACACAAAACTTTATTTAGAAAAACAAAGGACAAACGACACATAGATAGGCAGTCTCTTTTCTCTCTGGGTCTTCTCAGGCTGTCTATTCTACACAGGTTTTCTTATGCTGGCATTCACCCGTAGCCTATTAGCCAGGCCCATAGCCACAGTGGGGCATTTAGGGGCAGTGCCCCCTCACGCATGGCCCACGCCCTACAACTCCTGCTGCGGGAGTCATGCTGGCAGGTAAGGAAAGACCCTTCTCTTCTTCACCTGCCTGCCAACAGGATCTCTCTGTCTCTCTCCTGCCCCCCCACCCCCCATTCCCCAAATCCCCACAACCCCACCACCCAAAAATTTTTGGTTAACCCCCCCCTATTACCCATTTTGTAGAGTTAGAAGGAATCCTAGAGGTCACCTACTCCAGCCCCTTTGCTCAGTGCAGGAATTAGTCAGCTACAGCACCCCACTCTGCTTAAAAGAGCACATGCCTTTTAAAAATGTTTTTAGAGTTTGAAAATCATAAAAAAATTATTAAAAATGGTTTTAGATTATTAAAAAAAGCATTTACAGGAGAAATTCTTGTGGGGCTCTGCCTTTAAGAAAGGGGGCGGAGCTCCCCACTGTAGCTATGGGCCTGATGGTACTTTCTTAATTTTATTTATACCCTACCTTTCTCCCCAATGGGGACTTAAAGTGTTTGACATCATTCTATTCTCCTGCATTTTAACAACAGCCCTGCGACATAGGTTAGGCTGAGTGTAGAACTGGCTCAACGTCACCCAACGAGATTCCGTGGCATAAGTGGGGATTCGAACCTGGGTCTCTCCAATTCTAGTCCAACATTCTAACCACTGCACCACGCTGGCTCACAACTCTGTAATGTGTGAACTGGCTCTTGGCGTAAAGCAAAGTTGTAAACAGCCTGGTTTCCCTGGGTAAATGAGAACTGCCTCTGAGCGACCAGCCAGAGAAACTTTTTGCAGACTTGCGTGCAAAGTTGGCACATGTCCTACTTTGTGTGTTCTTGGAAACAAGAAAAAGGGTTGCAAGGTGCAAAGGCAGAATCCAGTTCCTAATCGGCTGCCCATCTCAGGACTCCATTTCCTCTCCTAGTGCTGCACATCAAGTCAATGCTGTACTTTCATGAGCACTTCAGAGTGCAAGAGTCATTTGTTTCAAGCGGCAGATCTGGGTGAATGCGTGCCATTTTATTTATACCTTTGCCAGGCCATGCGTTTTAAAACTGTTAACTTTCTTGGTTTCAGGTACACGAAGCTGGGCTATGCAGGGAATACGGAACCGCAGTTCATTATCCCGTCATGTAAGTCAATGCCGCTCTGCCTTCTAAAATACATGCTTCTCGCCGAAAAGGGAACTGCTTGGCTCGCTGGCTCTCCAGCTTGGCATTCGTGGAGCCGTGTGTGTTTGTGTCTTCCCCCTCCCCCGGGAAATGGTAGTTACAGCACCCGTGTCCTTGGCTGGTGTATAGCTGTGGGGAGAAGGGGAAAAAAAGCTTGCTTTCCTTCTTGCCAGGACCGGTCCTCATTAAATCAGTTTCTGGTTGCTATGACAAGCTCTGTTTCCTTCCTATCTTCATTGTGTGACTGCCAGGGATCTGCCGCAGCAAACAAGTGACTTCCTCTTTACCTGACACCATGGAGACGACTGGAATAATCCCGTGGGAGTCTTCCGGTCAATTTAAATACTGAATTGCAGATGCCACCTGGCTGTGGAGAGAGATCTATATTTGGACCGGCTAGGAGTTGTACAGTAAATAGAGCGATGTTCGCGGCCGTAGTTTGACTGTGCTCTCTCATCGGTTTCCATTTAAACTCTCTCCTTTTCTTTTTTTTTAAATTTAGGCATCGCAATAAGAGAATCGGCCAAAGTGGGTGATCAGGCACAGAGGAGGGTGATGCAGGGAGTCGATGACCTAGACTTTTTCATTGGAGATGAAGCCATAGATAAACCTACCTATGCTACGAAGGTAAGACTCAGCCAGAAACAAAAAAGATGCTTCTAAAGTAATACGAGGACACACGGATGTTCCCTGTTTCAGCACATTGCCAGTGTGTCGCGGGCCCTGCGGTTTAGCAAGCAGGAAATAATTGATTTGATTTACATTATTTGTAGTCCGCCTTTCTCACACGGACTCGAGGCAGATTACGCATATTTAACTTCTTAAAAATCTGGCATGGTTTTATGACTGCAAGGATGGGGCGTAGTAGTTTCAGAGTGGGAACAGGCTGACAACACCGCCCTGTGCACAGTTACTCTGGTGTAAGCCCATTTATTCATTGCATTTTTATCCTCCAAGTTGCTCACGGTGGCATACACGGTTCTTCCCCCATCTATCACATCCCCAGAACAACTCTCTGCGATGGGCCAGTCCCACATTCCAAGCCTAAAGCCTTGCAGTATCTGGGTCTCCCTAGGACTCGCTTAGTGCTTTAACCACTGCACGGCGCTGCCTTTCGCTGAAACCATTGGATTTTAAATCGGTAGGCTTAGCCTCATGAATGGCTTTGTCGTCAATCGCCGGTGATAACCTTGAACTGAACCTGGTAAACTGGTAGGTAGCCAGTCGAGTAACTGTGGAGTGGGTACTCCTGACCTGCCTAGGCCCCTGATAGCAACCAAACTACAGTATTCTGTAGTAACTGGAGTTTCCGAGTCGACGTCAAAGGCAGACCCAAATAGAGTGAATTACAGTAGTCTAGTCTTGAGGTCACTGTCACGTGGATCCATGTGGTTAGATTGGCTGAATCAAGGTAGGGAGTGCCTAGGATGCCAATACTGCCATCCTGTCATGCATAGGTGTCAAACTCGTTTGTTATGAGGGCCGTATCTGACATAAATACCACTTTGCCAGGTCATGTGTGCCATACAATGTAATGCCAGGTAATGGAGATAGAAACTGTATAAAGGACAGCAGCTGGTAAGCTCCGAGTTGCTGTATCCTCACTGAAAGGCCCCATGTGCTGGGAGGAGAATGCAGAGGAAAACCCACCTAGGCGGACTGGAGAGCCAGCAGTGCAGCGCTGGGATGATGCTCCCACATTGCTTGGCTGCTGCAGACAAGGTTGTTCTGCTATGCCAAAGCCACAATGGAGTGGCTCCGCCCACTCCCCCCCAGCACTTCATCCCTTGCATTGGTTGCTCGTGGGCCGCATAAGAGCCCTGGACAGGCCTCATCCGGCCCCCGGGCCTTATGTTTGACACCTCTGCTCTAGTGCTTCAAGTGTCTCCTGCTTCCTTAGACAGTGGGCACCCCTTAAGTCTAGGATTCCTTCCTGGAATATTCATGTGGCACCATTTCTGTTCTTTGTAATCCCCCCTCAAAACCCACAACTTTAGTTGACCCACATCTGAAATGGCGCCGGAGACCATGCAACTGAATTTGTGCATATTCATCCACTGTTGTCCTCCTTCTCTTCTTCCTTCTTGTCTTGCCCACTGCTGGAATCTGGACAGCAAGGTCCTCGGAGTTCTCCCTTACTTTTCAGGCTGTGGACCTTGACAGCACTGAGTGAACAATCGCATTCTCAGTGCGCTCCATGTTGAAATTTGTTTAGGCTCACCCATGGCTGGGTAGAATGCTAATCGGTGTCAGATGTTTGTCTTGAACACATGCAGCTGCCTTAAACTGAGTATGACCGGGGTTCTCGACATACTTTAGGGATTCCCCGGGGATGCAGAAAAATACAACTTTGTGAATCAACCAAAAGAAAATCGGGGGGGGGGGGGAAGAACTCAGCCTGGTGAGGGCTGGATGTGCTCCAGGAGCACCGAATGTCGAGAGCGATTTAAAGTCAAAGGGACAATTTGGGGGGAGGAGAGGAGAAATTAGCCCTGAGACCGTAGGGATCTTGCAGATAGAGCACAAGATTCAAGTCCAATAGCATCTTAAAAGTCCAACCAGATATCCAGGGTATACCCTGGAAATCTTGTTGGTCTTTACTGTACTATTGGACTGGAATCTTGCATGTCTACTGCAGACCAACATGGCCACCCGCGTTGGAATTAGAGTGCACTTGGATGGTTTCCCGCGAGTCCTCGTGGGGCCTTAATTTTTTTATATAAACAATGATTCTTTCACTTTTGCTTCAGTGGCCTATCCGACATGGTATGGTAGAAGACTGGGATCTCATGGAGAAGTTCATGGAGCAGGTTATTTTTAAATATCTTCGAGCCGAACCAGAAGATCACTACTTCTTAATGGTAAGGTGAATGGGCAAAAGGCATGTTATTCTTATGTGTGTGGTTTCGGGGCCTTTTCAGACATTGTGCTTTGGATGCCAAGATCTACCATTGAATCCTGGCTTCCTGACTGGTGTCCCTGTGCAATGCATCTGCTTTCTCTTTTCAGATGTACTTTTCAGGTATTCTTAGGTACACCCCTACACGGATGAAGAGACCCCCTGAAGCTTTTCCATTGTATTTGGTTTTTCCTCCGTGTTTAATTTCTGGAGGAACAATTTTATAAAAATCGCATGCAAACAATATTCCAGTGAATTTCTCTAGCAGGCTTCCATGTTTGAATGCTCTTTATTATGATGATTATTATTTTACCAAAAAAAAATTGGGTGGCTTGATTAGATTACAGATGCTGCTTGAAATAATTGGCTGATTTGCACTTAAACAAAGGACAGCATTACAGCAAAATGGAGCAAAATGTCACTTAGCAATATGTTGTGTTTCAGCAGCAGCGTGTCCAATTATGCATTGCCTTCTGCGGGAGCTTTTTGCTGTATAGCTCTGTTGCATTAAAGGAAGGAATTTCCCTTAAAATTGCCGTCAGTGACTTTTATTTTACATTTTTATAAGGTAGCAAACACATAGGTTGTGTTAATGCTTTTTAAAAACTTTCTTAAAAAACAGGAGCATTTTTCGGGAACGAGGTGCCAAATTAGCTTTGCCCTTAGACTGCTTTTCATTCCCCCCCAATCCATTTTTCCTAATGAATTGGCAGCAGTTCGACTGTTATGATGTTAATGTAATTTATTATCCTAAAAGGTTTTTGTATCCAGATTTTTTTCTATAAATGGTACCTATCAACATTGGCGGTCTTGACTTTTGGGGGGGTATTTTTGCACTGTGTGTGTATATGTGTATGTGCGCGCATGCCCGTGCCTGGAAGTCATGGCGACCTGTGGCGACTCCTACTGGGGCATGGAGGACATTCAGAGAAGTGGCTTGATAGCCTGCCTCTGGCCTCCCAGCCCTGGTATTCTCTGGAGGTCTCCCATCCAAATACTTGTCAGGGTCGGCCCTTCTTAGCTTCTGAGATCTGATGAGATTGGGCTTGCCTGGGCTATCCAGGTCAGGGTGGCAGTCTTGACTTTTGTTGAGCTTGCTCTGAGAATGATGGAGCTCTCATCTACTTTGCCAAACATATCCCAAGAAGAGTCTTATGGTATTGGACCAAAGGTCCGATTACAGTCCAGTCCAGTGTTCCCTCTAAGCTGAGTTAGTGTGAGCTTGCTCACAGTTTTTTAGCCTCCCAGTTCACACATTTTTGTCTTCTCTCACGAAGGATGGCTCCAGAGCAAACTCATTTATGTAGTAGCCAAATCGCTCACTCACCACTTTAATGCCAGTAGCTCACAAAGTGGAATTTTTGCTCACAAGACTCCACACCTTAGAAGGGAGCATTGGATGGCTCCAGAGCAAACTAGTGTATGCAGGAGCCAAATGGCTCACTCACAACTTTAATGCCAGTAGCTCACAAAGTAGAAGTTTTGCTCACAAGACTCCACACCTTAGAGTGAGCATTGGTCCAGTCCTGCATAGAGTTATTCCAGTCTAAGGCTGCTGATGTCTGTGGGCCTAGGCTGGAATAACTGTATAGCATCGCACAGCCGATCTGTGTTTAATTTTTTAACATTCATTTCTCACTAAGACTCATGCTGAATTACCAAATTAAAACAAACAGTTCAATCAGACAGCAAGGATCTCTAATACACAGTGCAATAACTTTGTGCCATCGTCGCAGCCAACTTTTGGGGAACCCATGAGGTTTTCAAGGCAAGAGACAAACAGAAGTGGTTTGCCATTGCCTCCCTCTGTATAGTAACCAGGACTTCCTCAGTGGTCTCCCATCCAGATAGTAACCCGGGCTGACCCTGCTTGGCTTCCAAGATCTGACAAGATTGGTCTAGCCTGGGCCATCCAGGTCAGGTTGCAATAGGTTTAGAATTACAGAACTGGGAAACAGAGCAAACAACAACCACGGACAGTGAAAAGAAGAAGGGTGGGGGAACTGTCTAGGCATGATATGCTATAAGTGGGTTGTACGGCCAGCCAGATGTCCAGGCTCAGAACAAGAAACCTCTGCATACGAAAGTAGAAAGTAGAACCATAAGTTAGCCCTGCAGAACGCGTGCTCCCAAACCTGTGTTTCCTGAGAATAAAGAATGGAGGGATTTGCAGGCAATAATCGGAAACCTTGTCCTTCACCTGCCAATTTGCAACTACGGGTGCCTCCCTGGAGGCTATTTTGTTTAGCTGGTCTATATTCCCAGCTGGGGGGGGAAAGCTAAAACACCCAGGAAGGAATTAGTTTCAGGCAAAGAAAGGGTTAATCTCCTTTCCCTCAATACTGCCCTGCAAAAATGCCCTCTTCGGCTGAGAGCCAGTTTGGTGTAGTGGTTAGGAGCACGGACTCTAATGTGGGAGAACCGGGTTTGATTCCCCACTCCTCCACATGTGGCTGCTGGTGTGACCTTGGGTCAGTCATAGGTTCTTTCAGAGCTGTTCTCTCAAGGGCAGTTCTCAAGAGAGCTCTCTCAGCCCCACCTACCTCACAGGGTGTCTGTTGTGGGGAAGGGAAAGGAGATTGTAAGCCTCTCTGAGACTCCTTCAGTTGGTGAAGGGTGGAGATATAAATCCAATCTTCTCCTCCTCCTCTTCGTCTTCTTCTTTGCTTCATATGTTGTGACTCCATGTTAAGAGCATACCTCCTATTTGACCTTGTAGATTTTTGTGTGGGCTGTTCTTCAACCCTGGGAAATGTACCCCTAAAAGTTCGCCACAGACTTCCCTCTGGGTACCTGTGGGAAACTTACATGGATTCTGAAGGGAACTTTGATTCTCAAGAGCTTATATCCCCCAAATCTTGCTGGTGTCTAAGGTGCTACTGGGCTGCAATCTAGCTGTGATACAAATTCAGCATGCATTTACCAAATACAGAGTGCAATCAGCTAGCTCTTTGTGTGATCTGGAAGAAGGTGGCCTTGGCCTTGAATGCAAATAGAAGTCCCTTGCGAGGGATCATGTTGAGGGACTTCCTCATATTGCTGATTATGGGCAAAAACTCTCAGGAATGTTGGCACAGGGGAGGTCAGAACGGATGGCAGGCCCGTTTCCACAGTCTCAGGCAGTCTAACAGCCACAGGATACCTTACTTGAAGGAAGAACATACACACAGATAAACACACTGCGGGAGACTCTTGCTGGTTCAAATAAAGCTCGGCAGACTTTATTCAAAGCGATATAGAGTGGGGCAGTGCATTTTCTGTGCTTTTGGTGCCAAGTTTATGTCCTGGTTTCAAATACTCTGGTTTTTAGGTTACATATTAAAATTCTATATGTGTGCTTATGGTTCTGAGAATAGTTCAGGAAACTGTTGGTTCTGAGAATCATAATTCTCAGAAACGATTCTCTGGTAAAAGGATACGCAAGAACAAGAAGCCTGAACAATAGTTCTTCTGCCAAACAGCAGCTTTATATGTTAACTCGAGGTTGTAGCAGGTTGAGCTTTTAATGTGCTGAAGCTGACCAGTGCTGTGACCCAAGGAGAGCCCTTCTGGTTTCTTCACAGCGATAACTTTCGCAAGGGCTCCTGAAAGAACCTCTCTGTAGCTAACAGTATCCCTGGTTGAAGTTGACTTTGATTATCCACCAACAATAGGATCTTGTGTGCCCTGTAACGTTCCGACTTCAGAGTCTTGTAGGCCTTTTTAGAACAGGCTTGTGCTAGATTTTGAGGCCGTCCAAATCAAGGGATTATATAGTCCTGTGATTATTTTTATATGTCGGATAGCCAGTGGCTGCCGGCACCTTTGTGCAGATCAAAAAATCTGCAGGATAGGGCCATTCACAGCTACAGTTTCGGGTTCGGTTCTGAAAAACCAGAAGGACCTGTAGGTTTGTAGAAAGACATGAGTTAGAAACAGTGAGGAAGAGGTGAAATAACTCAGAAGTCTACAGAGTGCAGTTGCAGCCTCAAATAGCACATAGAAGAGGATAAAAAGATGATGGTGGAACAATGTGGCATAGGGTTGCCGGGTCCCTTTAAAGGGTCTTTTTGCAAGCAGGGTGGGGGCCGTAATACATGGGGCAGATTTCCCCCAGCCCTGTGCGCCGCAGCCCCCACCCCACTCACAAAAAGACCCTTTAAATGGTCGTTTTGCAAGCCAAGTCTGTGGCCCACAACCGGCCCCTCTCCGTCTCTCCTGCTAGATTTAAAGGGCCTTCCAGCTGGTTGGCGGGCCACATGGTCCCCGCCAATCAGCTGAAGCCCTTTAAATTGGGCAGGAGGGGAGGGAGAGGGGTAGTGGGGGAGTAATCACTCTTGGGATCGGGACTTGGGGTGGGGCTTCCCCGCTGGCCAGGGGCGGATTGGAGCCCCCAAAAGCGGGTGAACCCCCCCACCCGGACCTGGGGGCTGGCAACCCTAATGTGGCACTGGAGGGAGGGGAACCGAAATGGGTGTGTATTGGGGGGGGGAAGCGGAGGCAACGGGGAGCGGAGCTGGACTCAAAGGACAAGTGGTGAATTGCCTTTCCTCATGTATTTCTCTCCCTTATCAAATATAAGATAAACAAGACACAGAAACAGAGATCCACAGAATATGCATGAATACAAACAGACTTCAGGACAATATGTAATATTTTTGGATAACCTAAGAATTATTCTTAAGGGGAACTTGGGACAAAAAGTCACCTGCCAAGTGGGAGTTCATTCTCCATTGTTTCCACCTAGGTCTGCTTTTGAGGATTGCAGGGATTTCAGTAGGCTTACCGGAAAGCAAACTTAATAAAAGATGTTCTCTAGAGTTTTAATAATGTCTTTTATCAACAGACTGAGCCACCGTTGAACACGCCTGAAAACCGAGAATACCTTGCAGAAATCATGTTTGAATCTTTCAATATACCTGGGCTTTACATTGCTGTTCAGGTAAAAAACAACAACAACTAAAAGCATTATCTAGCCTTCTGAAATAATCTAAATAGAGGGACAGGTGGGCTTTTGTGTGTGTATTTCCTAAATCTAGAGTTTGCGAATTGAGAGGGAGGGTAGGGCTGTTCTGTTTGGCAGTGGTGCTGAGTATATACTACTCTATGTTAATAACTTGCCTTTTCCAGTGTCCAAAACACAGTGCGCGTGTGAGACAACAGGACCACCATAGATCAGCACCGCCCACTGCTTAAAACAGGAACCCATATCAATGGTTCACAGCAAGGAAATGAACAGAAAAGCCCCTTGAAAAGAAGTGTTGTTTTGCACGCTTAACTGAAGGGCAGTAGAGGAGATGTCTTTCTCACCTCCAGTAGCCTTCTGTTCCAATAGACGGGGGCCATCACCCAGAAGGCCCTTGAGTAGACTGGGCTGGCGTAGGTTGAAGCTCCTGGGAGGAATGAAGCTGGTACCGGGGCTCGTACAGCTGGCCCTTCAGATATGGGGGTCTCCAGTCTGCAAAAAGTTTTAATGACCAGCCCCTTCAGCTGAGCATGAAATCAACCGCCCACGTGATGGTCTCAAACTAGGCACAATGTGATCTTTTTGTGACTCACTCTCATTAGACCAGGAGTCCCCAGTGTGGTGCTCGTGGGCAACATTGCGCCCACTGGCACTTTTCCTGGCACCTGATAAGTGTTCTTAGAAAGTGGGTGGAGCCAAGTGGGGCTTTTGCCCAGCAAGGCTTCTGATTGGCCCCTGGAGATTTGAGTGGCTGTGCAGATATTTAAAACTGTTGCTTTGGCAGCAGCTGCCGCCACACCACAATTATCCTCACTGTGACGGAAGGTGGGCCACAGCAGCCATTGTGTGTCCGGCTCCGCCATTTTGTTGCTGTATCCACCATGTTGTGTCAGAATTCCAAAGGTGCCCGCAGGCTCAAAAACATTGAGAACCCCTGGATTAGACCGTGGGCTGCAGTGTTTTGAGCCACTTGAAGTTTCCTAAAGCATGATGTATATTCCCTCTCTTTATTGCTGATAATGCTGTGATTGGATCAAGATGTTTCTTACCTTTTACATTTGGGGAGGACTTAATCTCTGTAGTTGCTTGCTACTATAAGCTTTAGAGCTGTGTGTAAAACTAACTTGTTTTCAAGTAGCAAATTTTTGTGGCACTCTCAGGACAGGGTCTTTCTTGGTGGTGGCTCCGCCACTGTGGAACAGCCCCTCACCCAGGATGGCCCACTAGCCTGTCTCTCCTCTCCTCTTTTTTTTAAAAAAATTATGATTTGATTTGATTTAGAAAAATATCAGTACAAAATACAGAAAAACACTGAAAATAGAAAAAGCTGTGAAACTGTAAAGTTTAACGAGATTAGAGTAGTTAAAACATTGTGCATTTCGAAAATTACATTTCATGCTATGACTTCATAACTGGACAGTTTTAAAATATAATTTACGTAGCTCACGTCAAATGCTTAAAGCATAGATATACTTTATATCCTTTTTATTTATTTTACTAGCGTGACACGCCCGTGTTATCCCTACTGGAGATTGGGCCGATCGAAGCTGGGAAATAACAGTTTGACTAAGTCTACTGGGTGGCAGTGGTGGATTTGAAGAGGGGGGGCTTTTTGCTGCAATATTTACTACACCAGCTGCTCAGCCTTTAGCTCCCACTCCAACTGGAAATTTGGGGTGGTGTATTGCTGTGGTCATCACATGCGTTCTTGGGTTTCTGCTCAGGCGGTGTTGGCCCTAGCTGCGTCTTGGACTTCGCGGCAGGTTGGAGAACGTACCTTAACTGGGGCCGTTATTGACAGCGGGGATGGTGTGACTCATGTAATCCCAGTGGTAAGTATTGCTGTATGGTCAGCATCCCTGCATAGTCGCAGTTACATAGAAACAAAGAGCTGGAAGGGACCCCAAGGTTCATCTAGTCCAACCCCCTGCACAGTGCAGGAAATTCACAGCTACTCCCCCCCCCACTCCCTTGGTGAACCCTGCTCTTTGATCATAGAGCAGAAGTACCCCTGCTCTATGCCCAGTCTCTACTTATCTTAAAACTACAGTAGCACCTTAAAGACTAGCAAAATTTGTGGTAGGGTATGAGCTTTCATGAGTCACTGCTAATTTCTTCAGATACTTGAAGAATTAAGCAGTGACTCATGAAACCTCAGACCCTGCCACAAATTTTGTTAGTCGTTAAGGTGCTACTGGACTCACTCTTTTCTACCACTATAGGCAGACTAACATGGTTACCCATGTTGAGAACTATAGGCTTATTTTATGGACATGTGTCCTGTAAGAATGAGGGAGGTGACAAAATATATCAAAAGAGATCCCTTACAGTTCAGTATCAGAATGCAGGAAATGCGATTATCGTGTGTGTGTGTAACATCCAACAAGATAGTAATGTTTTAAAATAACCAACCAAAAATGTTTGTTGGCCTTTTAAAATAAAAAAACACATAACCATTATTTTACATAAAGAACTCTGAAAACTGTTATCCAGAACTACGTTCTGATGCATCTACGATGAGCATCTGACTCATTAGTTCCATGTATTCAAGGCTGTATATGCCTTGGTTGTCATGTAGTGCCTTATAAGTGCTGCTATTATGACAATGATGCTTGAAATGGCTAACAAGTTCAATTGGTCCTTTACTTGTAAACGATTTAACTGTGCAACTCCTCTCCTTCCCTCTTTTCTGCAGGCTGAAGGCTATGTAATTGGCAGTTGTATCAAACACATCCCTGTCGCAGGTCGAGATATTACGTATTTCATTCAGCAGCTTCTAAGGGAGAGAGAGGTGGGCATTCCACCTGAACAGTCACTGGAAACTGCTAAGGCCATAAAGGTAAACCAGATTCTTGTGACTCTTAGCCATTCTCTGGCAACCCTTTTAAACGCAAGAGCTTGGCACTAACTCTGGCCAGTTTGGTGTAGTGGTTAAGAGCCTGGACTCTAATCTGGGAGAACCGGGTTCGATTCCCCACTCCTCCACATGCAGCTGCTGGTGTGACCTTGGGTCAGTTACAAACTCTCTCAGAGCTGTTCTCTCAGGAGCAGCCCTCGAAAGAGCTCTCTCAGCCCCACCTACCTCACAAGCAGTTGTCCCTCTAAGCTGAGTCAGTGTGAGCTAGATCACGTTTTTTTAGCCTCCGGCTCACACATTTTTATTTTAGCTCAGGAAGGATCACTCCAGAGCAAACTAATTTGTGCAGCAGCCAGATCGCTCGCTCGCAACTTTCATGCCAGTAGCTCAGAGTAGAATTTTTGCTCACAAGACTCCACAGCTTAGAGGGAGCATTGCTCACAGGTTGTCTGTGGTGGGGAGGAGAAGGGAAAGGGATTGTCAACTGCTCTGAGGCTCTTTCGGGTAGGGAAGGGCGGGGTATAAAAATCTCTTCTTCTTTCCCTCTTGGATTCAGTCACGCCCCTTCCTCCCGAAACAGCTTTCGTCTGGTGGCTGTGTCCTGCCAGTGGACTGTAGCCCTGTGGAGGCAGTCAGTGCTGGCATTTGGGGACTCCAAAGAGGACAGGGATCTCTTCCTGCCACTGTGCGGAATCTTATATGCCCCTTTTTTTGTCCAGTAAGATGTGGATGATGACAAGAAAGTGGGACTAAAAATGGCCAAAAATGACCATGAGAAAAGAGAGGCGGAACTGCCACAACACGGAAAAAGCAGCTATGTTGGCCGAAACAAAACCCAAAAAGAAAGGGATTGTAGCCAGATTAAATTATTCCACTAGGGTTGCCAGCCTCCAGGTGGTAAGTAACACAAAAGCTACAAAAGATCAAACCGTGCATAAACAGCAAAAAATATGTATTCAACATTCAACGAGTATGATCCTCTAACCCTATATAAACAGAGTAGTTTTTCAAAAATGCAATACAATAGAAACTTGAAAATTTTTGTTGTTGTTGTTCAGTTGCACAGTCGAGTCCGACTCTTCGCGACCCCATGGACCAGATCACGTGAGGCCTTCCTGTCTTCCGCAGTCCCTGAAGTTTGCTCAATTTCATGTTCGTTGCATCTATGACACTGTCTAACCATCTCATCCTTTGCCGTCCCTGTCTTCTTTGCCCTTCAATCTTTCCCAGCATCAGGGTCTTCTCCAGGGAGTGCTCCCTTCTCATTTGGTGGCCAAAGTATTTGAGCTTCAGTTTCATTATCTGGCCTTCCAGAATTGACTGATTTGATCTTCTTGCAGTCCAAGGGACTCTCAAGAGTCTTCTCCAGCACCATAGTTCAAAAGAATCTATTCTTCGGCGCTCGGCCTTCTTTATAGTCCAACTCTCGCAGCCATACATGACTACTGGGAATACCATTGCTTTGACCATGCGGACTTTTGTTGGCAGGGTAATGTCTCTACTTTTTATCATGCTGTTTAGGTTTGCCATCGCTTTCCTCCCAAGGAGCAGGCGTCTTTTGATTTCATGGCTGCAGTCACAGTCTGCGGTGATCTGGGATCCCAGGAACGTGAAGTCTGTCACTACTTCCACGACTTCCCCTTCTATTTGCCAAAATACATGGTCCAAATACACAAAAATTAATCCGCCTTCAGAAACAGTCCAACCCAAATCCCACAAACAGTGAAAAGTCCAAATATAGATGTTTATAATTCCTCTTCAAAAAAACACCCTCGTCTCGTCGCTTGTGTATCCACTTCGCGGCCCTCCCAGCTTCAAGTTGCCATATCGCCTTGCTTCCTCAAAAGTGGAACACCAAAAACCGCCCAACTCCAGTATTGAATAAATACACAGCATCTTTTTCATTCTAAAAGTACCTAAGACCAATTACTCTGATGTATCACAGGTGGTGGCTGGAGATCTCCTGGGATCACAATTGATCTCCAGGTGACAGAGATCAGTTTCCCCTGGAGAAAACAACCACTCTGGAAGGTGGACTGTATGGCATCATACCGCATTTGAAGTCCCTCCCCTTCCCAAACCCCGCCCTCCTCAGGCTCCGCCCCCCCAAATCTCCATGTGTTTCCTGACCCGGAGCTGGCAGCCCTATTTTCCAAACCGAAGAAACAGACCTCCCAGTATAAGGACTTCAAAATTAACAAGCCTGGGGCATAAATAATATGATGGATCCACTCAAACACTTAAGTATGTACGCTAATACAGTCACTTTTATACTTGACAATTATTTCTAAGTATACAAAATATCAACAAGGCATACAAACCAAAGCCATACAATATCTCAGTGATATACAGACTTGTGAAACTTAATGATATACAAACATCGGGTCTGGAGAGCCCTGTTCTGTGCTTTTTGTGGTTGATCCCTGAACGTGTTCCGAAGCTGAACGCAGGAGTTTTCCCTACCTGTGCGTTAAGATGGGACTGTCTTTCCACTCTTGACCTTCAAGTAAGTTGAAGAGGGGTGAATGTAGGGGAGGTGCTGTGGCGCAGTGGCAGAGCATCTGCTTGGCCTGCAACAGGTCCCAGGGTCGATCCCCGGCATGTCCAGTTGAAAGGCTCTGGCAGTAGGCGACATGAAAGATGTTTCTCTGCTGGAGACCCTGGAGAGCTGCTGCCACTCTTAGTAGGTACTACTGACCTTGATGGACCAGAGGCCTTTCGGCATAAGGCAGCTTCATGTGACTCATGCGCTATGAATGCGTGCAGAATATCATTTGCTCGCCTCTGTTTGGCAAAACAAACACAAACGCTGTAATATCTTTTCGCAAGTGCAAATTAATTCACCAATTTCAGTATAACAAAATTCACAAAGGATCACAGTCTTTTGAAACAGTCACAGGGTCCGTCAGACAGAAAGTTCAATATGCAATTCCTTTGTTAATTTCATAACAAAAATCCTTAGAAGTCGTGCAGCGGTATAACGCAACAACGGACACATCTGGATCTTAGGAGACCATTTCACATCAGACATTCTTCCTCAGGGTCGCCTTATAATGAGGAGCCAATGCTCTTATCAGTGTTTCATGTGCAGAAAGCTATTCATCAGTTTCGTAGGCATGTAGGCTCTCGTTGCCTAGTTCTTCCCCTTTTCTCTTTCTGTTTGCCTCTCTTTGACTGCCATCTCTTTTCCCTTTGCCCACACCAATAAAGTAGGCGAAAGAGTTTTTGTTCTAGATCAGGGGTGTTGAACTCATTTGTTATAAGGGCCAGAATTTACATAAATCTTACAATATGAGGCCTAGTCAGACACATGTTCATCATAAATGTAATACCAGGAGGCGGAGATAAAAGGACACAGACAAACTCCATTAAAGATGCAGTATAGCACTGGGCTGATGTCCCCATATTGCCTGGAGTGGGGAGCAAACCCTTTCCCCAGCCTGCTCTCATGGTCAGTACTCTGAGCCTAGGACCCATGGGAAAACATGAAATGGCTGGGCATTGCAAGCCTCCCCCCCCCAAGTCTACTCAGAGTGGCAGTAGCTCTCCAGGGTCTCATGTTGAAGCCTTTCTTATAATAAGCCACAGCCTGGTCCTTTTAACTGGAGGTGCCAGGGATAGACCCACCTAGCCAGTTTGGTGTAGTGGTTAAGTGTGTGGACTCTAATCTGGGAGAACCGGGTTTGATTCCCCACTCCTCCACTTGCACCTGCTGATGTGACCTTGGGTCAATCACAAGCTCTGGTACAGCTGTCCTTGAAAAAGAGCAGTTTGTGTCAGAGTTCTCTCAGCCCCACCCACCTCACAGGGTGTCTGTTGTGGGGAGGGGAAGGGAAAGGAGTTTGTAAGCAGCTCTGAGACTCCAAGTGAAGGGCGGGGTATAAATCCAATCTCTTCTTCTTCTTCTTCTTCTAGCTCCTTAGCTCAATGAACACAAGAGAAAAGCCTCCCCTGAGAAGCACAGTGTTTGCAATCAAGCCCCTTCCCCCCTCAGCCAGCAAACTTCAGCAAATAAACAGCTCTAGCAGACCCACCTGGCTCCTGCCTTTAGCTCAATGAACGCAAGAGAAAAGCCTCCACCTGGAAGCACAAAGTTTGCAACCAAGCCCCCTCCCCCCTCAGCCAGCAAACTTCAGCAAATAAACAACTCTAGCAGACCCACGTGGGCACAGGAGAAGCCAGCGAAGACGAGGGAAGTTTGACAGCTCCGACCTCTGGTCACTGCACTCAGAGGCAGCTCAGAAGGACGAGGACAGGTGGGAGCAGGGGGGGGGGAGAAGAGAGTCACAGGCCGAATTAAAGCCCTGGTTGGCCCATGGGCCGTATGTTTGACACCACTGTTCTAGCTGCGTGGAACCCTCCTGTCCCTCTTCTTTCTATGATGAGTCTGAAGCTGTGATCCTACCCACGGTCACTTGAGAGTAAGGCATCTTGCATGCAGTAGGGTTTCTGAGTAAACCGCACAGCATCAGGTTGCCCCACAATAATTGCTTTGCTTTTGGCTCCGTCCTCCAGTGATATCTCAGGACCAACCGTGGAGACTCTGTCCTTTTCAGTCACCCCAAATAAATGCGTTTTCGCTTTTGTTTTGCATTGTTATGTTTTCACAGGAGAAATACTGTTACATTTGCCCTGACATAGTCAAAGAATTTGCTAAGTACGATCTGGATCCGCACAAGTGGATCAAGCAATACACAGGCATCAATGCAATCAACAAAAATAAATTTGTTATAGATGTTGGTTATGAAAGGTTCCTTGGTCCAGAAATCTTCTTTCATCCGGAGGTAAGAGAAATGGCTTGCTGCTGTTCTGGTAGTAATATTAGTATTATTAGTATGTGAACAGTAATGTAATTTTCAGTGAGAGAGCACCACCTTGTGGTTAAACCACAGCTGTATAAGAATTGCATCGCAAAGCCTAAAACTCTAAAGCGATCAGGTTTACCTTTGGCCCCCTGTA